TGGAAACGTCAAAAGAGCGAGATTCTGTCCATTTTCATTCCGAGGACTCTGAACATGCTTCATCATTCACGTTTTTCATCATTGTAAGTGCCTGATTAGTATCCTTTTTGTCTGCAATTTTCTCACTCCTTGTAACTCTTTCTATTTTTAGCCTTCAGAGTTCGTTCGTCTGATTAAGGTTTGCTTATTCCAAGGCAGACATCGATTTCATGACCACTGTGGATAGTCACTTGTCTCATTTCCGCTGAAATTTCGTTCTTGATATCCGGTATCTCGCTTTCCGATAGGAACTGCGATTAAAGATCATTGATTTGTTTGCCTGTCTCTCTTTTCAGAGTCATTACCGTACTACGCTTCAGTACTTTTATTCTGAGACATTTACTTTCAGGTGGCATACATTCTTTGATTGTAAAAGTTTTTTTCACTCTTTCTCCTTGTAGCTATTAGATACCCTCGGATGGTTTTCTATTTATTTTTTTGTTCCATTTCTTCAGGCGATTTTTGTTGATTATTAGGGGGGGGTAAGGTTTGTAAGAATGTCTTCGAGGCTTGCAAGGCGTTCCTCTGCAGTTATTTCAGCTGTACATTTATTGTTCGTCCCCCCTCACTCATGTAGTCGCCATGTGTGGTGCTGGGCCATAACTCATGGAAGTTGCTACTGCAGCCTAGTTTATCCTGCGCGAAGCAAAGACCAATGCCGTATATGTCTTCTCTGATTTCTTCCTCATTCTATTCTTAAAAATGGACAAAAACTTTGTAGAAACTCTGTTCACTGGCTGCCCTACCAGAAGCCGCTGACATGGCTTCAAGAGTCATTGAAGCATTCAAGCCCTACCGCTACTTCACGGCTGTGGTCACGGCAAAGGGTGCGTTTTATTATGGAAACTAATATTTTTAGCATTGCTGATGTTAAATTGTAGCTTAAATTTCGTTATTCTACCGTTTTAATATTATTAGCCGATTTAAGGTAGTTATTGTTACTTGTGTTGAGTTAAGCATTATATTTCTTTGCAAATTCATTAGTGATGATTTCAGAGTTCTGTCTATTCAACCAGTAAATACTGCTCTTTTGCAGTATATGTGGTTTTCAGTACTTAAAGTTTTGATATTTTTCTGTTGATGGGACTGCGATGTACTGGTTTTATAACAGTTGTTACAGTTTGTCATCGACACATCAAGGAATGGAAGCTTGAAATTATTTTCTCTCTCAGGTAATCCATTGTAATGCTGAAAAACCGCTGGAAGGGCCTCGTCATCATCTTTGGAACAGACGGCGAAAATGTCATTTGCGTGCCTTTTCAAAAGAATCGTTGGAACTTTGCCAGGTTTGCGGACTTGGTTTCCAGTGTTTCATAGAGATATTTGCAACGATGGAGGAAAGTGCACTGTCTATTATGCTTCTTTCTTCTCTATTATATTGCCTCCATCGAACAATGTATGATTCGCCTCTGCCGCAGTCACTCACTAACTTTATGTTAGACTTACGAAACACATTATAATGTTCCTTTAGTGAATTATCATTTACAGAAATATTTTCACGAAATGCACTGACGATCTAATGCAGTTATGTTTTCCAGTTTGGATTTGACTCTGCCAACAGATGAGGAGCGTATTATCCCTCTTGATCGTCCTTCATTGTTGATTTGAACGTCCCTTCCGGCAGTCAAATGTATGCTGCGGAGTGAGTAGAAAATGGACAGTTTGTAGCTATTGCAATGTCGATACCGTACTTCCTTACATTTTCACGATGAGACCATTCTGGCGCCTTTCCTTTCATTAAGTTAATAATGGGTCGCTTGTCTTTATTTCCATGTCATTAGTTAAGAGTGCCTGTTTATAAAGGCAGATCCGACAGCGGTTATATGGGAAGCACAGTGTGTAGCTTCGTGTTTCTTTTCCTCGGAGCCACACT